TTTCGCCGAGGGAGCTAAACAGAAAAGAATTTAGGGCAAGCTGCTTGATGAGGCGCAAATTGCCCCACCCACTGACCACGCCCACGAATGCCACGTAGAAGTCGTCGGTCAGAGGGGCGGAGTTCCAGAAACACGGATAATCCGACCCAATTACAATTGGAAAACCGGCGGCAATCAGATACGCCGCCGGATGTTGACGAAAGTCGTTAAAGTATTGCAGATAATGGTTGGACAGCGGACAGATCTCCACGGCTATACTCAGCCTTTTCATGGCCTTCATAATCTCCGGATGAAAGGGTAGGTTCACGGCATTCCCGATTCGCTTACTGGCCAACAACAATGCCTCTAAAAGATTCGCATCCGGGCGGAAACTATCCGGACATCGGGACTCCCCCGCATGGAAATAAAAGTCAATATTCTTGCCGATCCTCAGCAGTTGAGTAACATTTTCCAAGGGCGGTAAATTGCACTCGTCACCAAAGGTGTTTAGATCAAAGCCGGCTAGGAAATTCGGATAATGCAACTATGAAGGAGGAAGGATAAATATGGATTCAATGGGCTAGAGACAAAATCCGCGACTACCTTGAGCAGACGTGCATTTTCCAAATACTCATCCATGCGAGTGTCATTTAAGTCCCTAGAAGGGGCGTAGATCAGTTTAATTCCTATAAAATCTTTGAAGCTCTCCTTGAAAATATCCGATACTGTAACTAATGCCTTCGCCGTTTCCAAAATAGTGGAGTTATTGCCATCCAGATCGTACATCTAGACAAAGTCAGGGGTAAAGGGCGATATTTAAATTGGACTGATTGTCAGGGGGCTCTCTGTAACGTGTATCTACATTTTAGGCTCTATTAACTGCAAACATTAACTTATTGCTTTTCAAGAAGTATCTAATATCAGGCAGTAAGGCATCGTTAGCTATCCCCAACCCAAATTCCCACTCACGATTGGCAGCGAAGAACGTAGCTCCACATACTGCACCCCGTCGGCGTAGAAATCGCTCAACATGCTGAATATAAATTCACTCCAGATGGGACGGAAGGTGATCAGTCCATGGATGATGCGTTGGTGGCGTCTTAGGTGCCGGGCCAACTCAGAGGAACTCTTATACCCCTCTGGCCGGACAGTGAGCAGTTTCCTCAACCTGTTCTCGAATTCGGACCTAGACTCGAACTGGAAGAAGTTGCTCATCAGCATCCAGTTGCACTGGTAGTCCTCAGCAGGCGGGATGTGCGGAAAGTATCTGGAGAATCGGAAGTCCTCGAAGCCCTGTTCCGGGTTCACGCAGACCCACAGGTTGTCGTGGTATGTCAAATCGATTAGGATGTCCGTTCTCAGCATTCCCGAATCGTGGACGTGAAGGAGTCCGCCTTTGGGCATGCTCTTAAGTGCCGCATAGAGATTCGTGTCGATGATGTTGCGATGTTTGAGAAACGGCGGTGGCTGAGAGTGATAGTTCTTCCAGAGATTAAAAGCCTCCTCGTCCACCTGCCTGATGGCCATGAGCCGATCATTGGCCTCCTCCTCCAGCGGACTCAAGGCCAGCCCGCTGCCAAGTCTTTGCCGGCGTTCCCTGTCCACGTAAATCTGCCTCAGGCGGGCGTGCCGCTCCTCGGCCGTGCGATTGCCAATGTCTTCTCCAAGGGGAGCCGTATAAATTAGCACCACCACCATCAAACAGAGCATCACAGCTATGCCCACGTGGAAGCAGACGCCACCATATTTACTGGTCGCCATTTGCCGGCGATTCTCCTCCTCGTCGAGTTCCATGCGGATCATTCGCATTGCAGGCTGCGGAGTGCCCCTCATCGCCTGGACATCCTGAAGCTCCACATCCCCCATTGTCCGGTTTCACAAACTCCAATAATTTTGAGATTCAAACCAATGTTTCGTTTAATTTTGTGCCCGAAAATGCCTAATTTGCTTCTCAAAACATTTTTTACCTGACTTATTAATCAAGCTTTTACAAAATTATACATGATTACTACATTCCACTTAGTAACGAATCGCAGCGGATTTCTCAAATTTTCTTTAACAGTCATGTCGGACGATTTAACGACATATTCTCTTTAAGATAGTGAAGCTATTTAAATTGAATGGTAACTTACTACAAATTAGAAATGAATTAGTATTCATCGAAATATGGAAAGATATTGCTGTGACTTATTTTTCAAGCTGCGTAGAAACAAATCTATTTAACCTATTAACGATATGTTATAGGCGTTATATAAGGAATCGACTTAAGAGGCGTTCAATGATTGCCGTATCAGTTGTCAGTAATAACAGTTCTTTGTTTACGACTGTACCATTATCGAATTTTAAAGCAATCGTGATTTGTTTCAATCCAGTTCTGTTATTCAGAGCCACTTGAAATTTGAACTCCCCACATCCAAGAAAAGTCTATGTGTATCATATCGCATTGGCCTTGGCCACATATGTAGCTCAAGTGTGAGGGGGATTTATAAAAATAGACCAATTTACTTTTTTCTCGCTGAAGAGGTCTTTCCATCTCACGTTCTTCGCCTTCCAGCGATAATACACAATCTGAGAGAGAGTATCGCCTTAAAAACTCTCTTCGCCAGTGGAAAGTTTGTCAGGGGTTGTATGTTACTTATCGACCACCACCAGGAGCGTGGTGAAAAAGGGGGTGGTGTTTACAGTTGTGCAGTGGCCACAGTGTGCTTAATGATATTTGTTATTTACTAACCTAATTTCCTGTAGCTGAAAGAATAACATTAGGTAGCTTGTCAGTTAAACTTACACTGGACCATAATACAAAAATGTACAATACAAAGTACGATTTCGTTTACTAATTTATTTATTTACTAATTAATATTTTTAATTTGAGAACTGAGAAAAGGGCATACTCTTGGTGGTGGTTGGTGGTATACTCTTTCGCTGGTGGTATGCCACTTTCGGTCACCCCTTGCCCCACTGTGCCACGAGATCTATACAATTGGGGACACATGCGCTGGTTGCACGCACTGCCAGCTGCGATTGCATGCCACCGTGATTCATACGCAACGGGGGTTCAGACAGAGGACGTACATATATGTATAGCTCAGTTGAGCAGACCTTCTCAGCCGCAGCAGATCGAGTAGGATGCGGTTCAAGACGAGTATAACCATAGGCCATGGAGAGGCAACCAGGAATCGGCGGCTAATGGAGCTGGACGACGACTGTCTGCTGATGATTTGCGAACATCTAGCGCTGGGAGACCAGCTGAGACTGATGGATGTGCAGGAGGAGCGATTTTCCAGCTTGATACTCCACTTGTGGTCCATTAGATACGCCAAGCAGTTTGACTTTCGCCGGGAGCAGCAATTAAACCTGCTAAAGCCCGACGAGCAGGCTCAAATATTGGATCACTTAGGCCGGCGAACAAAGGCCTTAATTAACCTGACAGGAACCGACGAAGGATGCCGGAAGTGGCTCAAACGGATGCGGCAAAGCCTCACCCATTTGCAGAGACTCAGTTTCACGAAAAGTAATGCATTGGTAATACAGAAGCTCCCCCATCTGTGCCCCAATTTGGTGGACCTTAAGCTTGGCGAAATTGAGGGTTCAACACCCCTCGATATGGACTTCATGTTTCAGAACCTTGAACACTTACGGGCATTTGAGATGCGCTGCAGTTGGAACTGCAGCCAACGGAGGTACCAGTATCCCAGAAAACTGGAGACCCTAAAACTACCGGCTTGTATGGTTAACGCCTGTGCTTCTGAGATCTTTCAATTGCCCCGACTCCGTCGATTGACAGCTTTTCTGTGTCAAAATTTGGGCCACAGCCACCTGGACCTGGACGATGATGGCAAGGCGAATTGCAGTGGCACAGGAACTTTGTCCGCGTGCCTGCAGCAAATTCGGGGTCGCAATTGTCGAATTGTGGGTCTCCGTTTGCAGTGCCGACTGGATGACTGCATGCCAGTCGTCGACGTGGAGGAGGTATTCCGGCTGCAATCCTTTGCCTGGCACTCGCAGCTGACGGTGCACTATGATGTGGCGGATGGGAGCGTCAGGTGGATGCCACAGCGACCGCAGGCCGTGAGCTCTCTTCCCCGCTTCTTAGCCACCCAGGCGGCCAGTTTGCGGGAATTGGATTTCACGCGTAACGCACATGCCACGCCCACATTCCTCGCACAACTGGACGCCCACTTGAAGGGGGCCGGCGGATGTCCTTCCATCCAACTGACAAATACGGATGCGGATGTAAAAGCGGATAGGGGTGCGGAAGCGTATGCGGATGCGGATACGGCTGAGACAAACGATTTGGCGTTTGTAGAGCTGAAATTGCTGCATTTGCCTAATGAACAAACGGAAGCGGGCACCGTAGAGATGACAACGATGAGGGATTGGGCCAAAAGGATAATGGATTGCTGATCCAGGGGGCGAATAACAGCAAATTAGGTGAATCTCGTGTGCTGCCCCTGAGAATTTAAGGTCCACATGGCGCTCACTGTGTTATTCCCTTAAGAAATATTTAATAATTTAGGTCAAAGTCTGACATTTTAAAATGCATTTTGTTGATATTTATTTAGGTTACTTAGTACAAAGGTAGTTGACAAACTACGAAAAGCAAAATAGTTGAGTCTGAAAACTATTCAAATTATACTCAAGCATCACCCTTCCTTATCGAAAGTTTTCAATAAATTAAGAAGAACGTTTGTAACACTGCATATCATGTAAATTCCGGTTTAAAAAGGTTATTGCAAGACTATTTTGCAGCAGTTTTGGAAACCAATTAAGTTATTCTAAACATACCTACACTGACACAAAAAATAAAGGTTTTCAGTTATACTAAAGACTTCTTTTCGGTCATCCCATTGTTTTAAAATCATCAAAACTGTACTCCGATTGGTTAGACTGTGTGTAAGTATTTGACTCTTCAGCTGATAATAAACATATGTTTCTGGAACCCAATGGACACTATTAGCAATTCTGTTCTGCTGCCCGATGAGCTGTATTTGGCATTCAAGCGGTTTTTGGGATACCAGAAGGATCTGACCGAAGACAGATCCACCCGAAATCCCGGCGAGAGGCTCTCTCCAAGGATTTATCCCATTAGCGACGACGACAGCTTTGATCCTTGTCCCACCGTCTGTCGGTTTTCAATGCCACGCAACTCTGCTGAACTTCAAGACCCTCTATATCGACATACTCCCGATGGCAGCAGACAGAATCAGCCAATGACACAGGAAGTGGTAATAATGCATACTGAGAACATATATTTTGTAAATTACAATGTTAAATTGTAGCTCCCGAATTGTAGTAACAAGGACGATGACTATGTAAGTATGATCCCATAACTACAAACACTTGTTATGCGAATCTTTGAATTTTAGCAATGTTGCAACTTGCCGGAGTGCCCGAATAATAGTCCTCCTCTTCAGGTCACCAACGATAAGACTTCGCTACAGATTCCACTAAATTCGTTGCTTCACTTTCAATCCCTAGTCAACCCATCTCAGCATTCCCGACGTAATGTCCAACGATCCCAAAGCGTGCCCAGGCAAAATTATAGAATTGATAAATCTAGTCATCATAATACTACCCACGAGGTAAGTGAATAAACTAAAAGGCGTAAGCCATTGTGATAAGAGAACATTTCAGCCCTCGACAAAAAGGATCAAGCCGCCTACACCGGTATGTTTAAAAGTATATACATTAATGATAAATAGTTAATAAAGTACTCACACCGAAAGTGTGAGTTAAGTGTACCGAGCGGAAACCGATGTCCCGCCGATCAAATTTATAACCGTGATATGGATACCAGCTGCAGGAATAACACCTCATGCGGTTGGAACGAATGCTCAGATGTGGGCATGAACTATGGAGAGTTTCAGAGACGTCAATTGCTGTTGCAAAAGATTCAACAGCAGCAATATCAGCAAAAGCAGGCTAGACAGCAGAATCAGTCGAATATTTCTTGGTTGGAAGATGACGATCCAATTGCATTTGTAAGTAAATGTATCCGAAATCGCTAAAGCCTATGCCAATTTTAAAAAATATAAAACAGGAACCTGACCTCAATAGCACGCGTATTAATCGAGATGATCATCAGCAATCCCAGCAATCCCGTTTTCAACCAAAACCAAATTGTCAGATGTGCAATTCTCGCCAGCATCAAAGTGTATGTAACCACTGCATGTATTTACTAAGTTTAAATATTTTTGTATACTTCGAAGAAGGTGACACGATCGATCCTTGAGTGCGATGAACCACCAGAAATGGTACGACATCAAACGCAGGTAATCTATAATAGCCCTATATTACAACAAAAGGGACTTCCAATGCTTGTAAGCTGTATTGCCTAATGTAGCAAATTATTTAAAATTTTCACCTTCTCTCAAAATTCAGTACGAAACCGATGTTAATGAAACTAGTTATCTTCAGCCACCAGAGACTCTGCGAAACGCTAGAAGTTGTCCACAGAGGAATCCGAATCTGAGAAACGTAAGTTGAATTAAATATTTCCAGCAGTTGCGAATATGAATATGTTATTTAAAATGCACGAAACATAAACTCGCAACCTTTTTACTTTAATGTACATCATATCATATTTTAAGCAGTCAGATATTTACCGAGACGCCTGTATGAATCAGACACCGAGTTGTCAGCAATCCATGAGTAAAAATCTGAAATCTAGCTTGGATCCACCCAAAAGTCAATATGGTTGCTGTAGTCATGGCAGAAGTATGGAAGATAGTCACAACTTTAGCCGTTGTGGTACTTCTGCCTCCAAAAATCAAACCTCTTTGGAAAAGTCTCAAATGTTGTCAGGGAGGTCGGGCTTGAATGTGAGTTTATTATTCGCTTGGCAGCCATGTGAAATAATCCTTGCTTTGATAGCAAACTTCATTGGAAAAAACTAAGCGAAACAATTCATTGGGAGGACGTCCGATGCGAATGGCCATTGAAACACGTAGGTTTTCCATAATACGACCCAAAAAAATAATAATAATATCGCCGATTAAAATTGATAAAAGCTGAGGATCGATTGGTTGAGCGCATTCAGAAAGAGTTTCACGAGACCTTGGTGAAGGATCGCTTTTGTCCTGGCATCATACAAGCCAGTCTCGATGGAACAGAGGATTTCAACGAGTACTCCAGGGAGATTGCTTTTGCAGGACCCGTTCCGGAGGAACCATATCCGGTGGATCCCATCACCATGATAGAGGCCATCAAGTTGCGAATCGACCACGATCGCGAAGAGATACGCAAAAAAAAGGATCTGAATGAGGAGCGTAGTAGGGATTTGAGGAATGAATCAAAGGCGGGAAGGTCGAGGCGTCCACGGCCAACAATCATCGAGGATATTGATATTTATTTTAATCCGAAAGCCAAGTCGGAAGTCAATGGGGGTGTGGCTGCCTTTCTGAAGGCCGAGACTGAGTATCACAAGACAAGTGTGGGAAAAGTAAGTATTACAAATATCAGATATTTCCCTTTATAAGGTACATATACTTATTTCCATTCATTAGTCAATTGCAGCGCGTAATCAATGTTTTCTATTTACAGGATTCCGCCTTTGATGCCCATATCAATCGCTTTGAAAGTAATCTCTTTGATGAAAAAATTAAAGTCCATTCCTATACGGCCACAACAACGCCCACTTATCGGTAAATTTAAATGGATTCTCAATCGGAAAAATCTATTTATGCGGCCTACTGGAGTTCATTTTTTACGAGACACATTTTTTTAATGAATGTAGTGTGTTTTGTATAAAACAAGCTTATTTATTAATTTTTGCAACTGAACCATTCTAAATGGCAACAGAAGTCAACATAATAAAATTTTGAAAAAGTCCCTAAGTAATCTATAAATTTATTGGTCAGGACAAGGAAGTGAATATTATAAAACAATTCACTTCCATTCGGTTCAAACTACTTCAGATGGGTCTAATACTTCTGACCGATAAGGGAAAATTGTTAAGCAATTAATCAGACTTATGAATGACTTGGAAATGAGCAATACATGCACGTATTATCTTTATGGAATGGTCCGACCTCTTGAGCTATTCGTCAGATCCTACATAAATATCTTAAATTTTAGCTATTTATGGATCAACTGCAATGTTATGAATTACGTAATTTGCACTAAAATTTTTCAAACAAATTATGCACTCAGACCAGTGCACTGAAGAAGATTTAAAACAGTAATAAATAATGCTCATTAGCGGTAAACATTTTGCCAACAGCAACGGGGGGCTTAGCTGAAAAACAAACCTTACCGGAAAAGAATAAACAGATTTATTTATTACTACGTAAACTGCGAATAAGCTAAAAGTATTAAACAAACGAAAATTGCCAAAAACCAATTTCGTTCATTAATGCGATTGTAAGTGTAAGCATAGTTCAAGTAATTTGAATTATTAATTTGAGAATAATAAATATAAATGATTACTGTTATTATACCCGTTACGCGTTCATTTAAATTTTTCCCCAATTTCTACCGATATTCCAGAAAATGTTGAAATTTCTCGTTCGCACTTCTCCACTATACTCGACTATAGCATACTGGTTTTTATTTATAACGATTTAGACCATAACAAGCTTAATCATATATGTATATATACCTCAGTATAGTACCACCAAAAGCGAAATGTCTTTGGGTTCCTTGAGCAGAATATTATGAGTAGACTTTTATCACATGTGATAACACGCTCTTTACACACAGTTTCTTAAGAGACTCAACGGAAGAGAACTAGATATTGAAAATACAAGAAAGCCGAGATAAAAATAAAAAATCAGCTGTTGGTTCTCACACACTCTTTTTGTAAATTCTATGTAGTTTGCATTCGGCAGTCTGATTTTACAACAATAAGCAAACATAACAAAGAAAATGAAATAAAACAAACAAAATGTTAAATGGCCACTCGTTTGCAGTATTTGTCGCTATCAAATGGCTTAACATGGTGAATATTCATTGATTAATTTCGATGAGTTGGCATAAACGAATCAATTATGCACGTTTTTTATGCCCTTTATCTTGGTTATTGTTTGTATAAAGCAACATTTAATGCGCGTAATCAATTGGTTTTCAGCTGCGCTTAACCAGCGTTCTTTAACAATCCTAATATCTTGGCTCTATATTATTATATTTTAATTTAATTTAATTAAATTTAATTTAATTTCAACATGTACTGAATGAAACGAAACTTTACCACGAACGGAGAAGGAGGCACACAACGTGATTGAAAATTTCAGATTTCTAGCACTTCCTCGCCGCGTTCTTCACGCCAAGAGCGCGTCCCAACGACTGATCTCAACGATCCCGAACTCGAACCGGAGAACCTCCCCCGATGTTCTTTATAACATATAGCGACGGAGCGCCGACGGGCATATCGATATGCTCACCAGATAGGTACCGTTTCCAGGACGGTCACTTCTCGCTCCGGTTCTCTTTTTCGTGACCAAGACGGTAACTTCTCTTTTTCGAAACCAAGAACCCAACGAGGGTTGCTTTTAGTGTTCCGCACATGGTCATATTCATGGTCATGGTCATTTAATTATGTTTCTTTTAATAAATTGTCAGCCAATTATTTGAAAAATGGCCCCATCCACATTATAATAATACTGAGAATACTAAGAATCGCCGGCATTAATAAAAGACAAATTTATTTATACCAGAAGGATCTGAACGAAGCCAGATCCAGCCGAAATTCCTGCGTAAGGCTTTCTCGAAGGATCTATCAGACGGCGACGACAACTAACTGCATGAATAACATTTCATAAATTCGTATGATAGTATAATCTCAAGTTGGGATGAACTTTCTTATGTCATCAAGCTCAGCATCCAGCTCAGCTCAGTATATCTTTATCCAGATATGTTAAATTCCTTAAGTGACTCATTACAAATAATTACAATAATATTTACAAATAATTTGTTTTCTGAATAGATGCAAACTTGCCATATTCTTAAGCTATATACGTTTCTACATTGCTCTTGGTAAATATACTTTAAACAAATGTTGCTCTCAGTTTTTTCAAATTCCATTCAAAAATATCAATTACTCAATCAGACAATTCTTGCAAATGGCAATGTACTTATATATTCAACTTTTTTGTTCTGTAAACAAAACGCATTTGTTTGAGAAATGAGAAAAATATTTAAAAAGTTTGGACCACCCATCTTGCGGCAATACTCACAAAAAATTATAGCTGGCGAAGAACACAAATCTGTGCATGTAGATTTCTATAAAATTTTAGTGATACTTTGTCATGAAGAAGTATGAAATTTATTGATCTGAATTTTCAGAAGTGCAAACAAAAACAGCTTTAAAATTTTAGTTCCACAAAAACTTTTATGGCACAGTGCTTAGAAAAGAAGTATGGAAATTATTGATTTGAATTCCCAGAATTGCAAACAAAAACAGCTTTAAAATCGACATTAACATTAATGGTACGGTTTTCCAAATGTAATACAACTAGAGTACAAATATTCAAATATTTGTGAGTAATGTTTTTGCTACCACGTGCATTCATGAATCCCTTTAAATTGCAGTGCAGACTGTTAATGTGTTTATAATAAAATTGCTGTGATTTGCCTTAGGTTTAAATTAATGGTCTCGCAACGAATGTATTGCACATTGCCCAGATAGTAAAGATATATTTTTGGCTCTGCTACTTTCGGTCATGGATGTGCAAATGTATAAATGTGTATTTGGGAAGCAAATAAAATTCCAGAAGGATCACAAAACTAAGAATAGGACATAGGAGAGGTAGACACGAGCACAAGCATCCGGAGATGGAGAGTCATAAATAAATTCATAACTGCATTCCATGCAAATTTCACAGGGCAATTGCTTTGGGCCAGTATTTGTGAGGAAAGCTGATTCAGATCATGAGCACTATCTGAGCTAATGTAGGAATGCCTTTACGGTTATGGCCGGGTGTGTTTGTGGGGCATGGATTATAGGGGCTTAAATGAATTTATGGCATGTGCTAATCTGGAGGGCTTAGAAACGCCCTTCCGCAGTGCCTATAATAATATAATTAAAGCTATTACCTGCACTCTGTGACCAATTATTTTTGAAGAACTTAAAATCGAGTGAAGGGTAGTCGTCAGTACTGACTGCACTTCAATCAGCAAGTTTTTTATTCCGATTGATTAATTGTTCCGTTTGAAAATTTCTTTATATTTATTGGTTACGTGTTTTGTGAAATCATCGACCTAGTACCTAGTACTGGGTCGGTTGTGAAGTACTGAAATCGTAAGCAACAATAAACAATTTAGTGATTGTTGTGCAAAACGTACAATTAAATGGCGGAAGCAAGAAGAAGTAAGAAAGCTCATATAAACATCAACAAGTATAAAATCATCATCCGAGTTCATTGATATTAGTAATATGCTAATTTGGAGAATGGAAAATTCTATTTCTTAAATAGCAATACATTCGGCTTCAAATGCATTGTACAATTTTTAAATATAACGTACTTTTTACGTTAAACTACATACAAAAACAGCCACTGAGGCTAATATCGGTGATTTTACTCCAAGTGTAACCCAGATAGTATTTGTTTATGCAACCAATTTGTGGCAATCGGGTCTTTGCACAAAGCTGGTACAAAATTCGCTTAGTAACATAAACAAAAGCCCTCCGCTATACAAAATTGTTTAGCAGTATAATTAGTGCACTTTATGGGTGGCAAGTGGAGCTGGGAAAATTGGGATATTTGATGGGAAAGCGATGGGAACTTAGCCAGCCCAGTTGCATTGATGATGGGGTGCATTTTCAGATTGCAACATTTTGCGGTGGTAGATGGTGCACTATTGGGAACGGAATTTAATTCAGTTACACGGAGAGTGCTCCTTAACCTCACTGAAATAGACCTACAATAGGACCATGGGCAGGGGGTCCATGGAAGTTGATTATGCGTTGTTTTGGCACTTAATATGATGAAATATGCAGAGAGCCATTAGCCCAGGATGGAATTGGGAAATGGTGGCGGTAAATAGTGGGAGCACACGATTGCAAAACGCACAGTGGCTGCAGTAAATTATGCAACATGATTCCCCCAACTTGCTTCAATTCCGAAGCAAACATTTCATTGCGAGGAATAATTTCCAAATCAAGGTTTCATTTTTGTTCAACTGCATATTTTTGTGCGCAACTGGGAAATGATTTTGCCAGAAAAGTTTGAACTGGCTTCTCACAGAAAATGTTTTCGTTTTTGCCGCAGGCATAAAAAAACATCGATTTTTTTCCCATACACCCATAAAAATAGGAAATAAAAAGAAGTAATATAAAATCGAATCGATCGGTAGCTTAATAATTAATTAGAATTCTAAATTGGTTTATAAGGGCGCACTGTAAAGCAATTTCGCACATAATCAAAGGCAGGCCAGCAAATTACGAGCTCTGTAGACAGATGTGCGCCCTCTCTTTCGTTGTTTGCTGCTCCATCTCTTTCACTCAACATCAAAGGCAATTAGCATGCAAAACAAGTCGAAGCCATGCATGTACATCTTACGCACACACACACGCCTGACATTTATGTACAAATGTATAAATATTACCCAAATTCAGTAGTACTTATGTTGGCTTAAGTGTGCATGACTGCAGAAGATGCGCGAAATAACAAACAGTTGTTTCTCCTGAAAAGTATACATTTCTTGTCAGTAATTAATGAAAGTTCTTGCATTTAATAAAAATCAGATATACTTTTATTT